ATTTTAATGAATCTTCCAGCTTAGCCCTTCCACGGAGCAGAGACTGTTAACTATCCTGTCTGCAATTTGTCTGTAATGTGTCTCATCCAGGTTGGCTGTGAACAAATCCTTGCCCACACAGACCCAATTCAAGGCCTGGCTGCTCTTGTTGGTGAGTTAATAGTATCAGTTTGGTCTTTTAACACCCTGTTTTCTAGAAACACCTGTAGGTAGAGCTGTTGCATTGTTGTGCGCATTGTGTATCATGGGAGCTGGTATGACCCCAATGTCCCACTGGGATGTTTTGCCCCATATTGGCTTTGTCTGTTGGGATGTCCCATGGTGGCCCATGGGTTCATTCCCTCACCTTTCCAAACTTACCCTCGTCAAGTTTTTCAGCCATTGTAGCCCCTTAGCCTGTTGACTGTCCGTGAGATGTGGGCTTCTGAGGTACTTGGTTCTTTTCTAAAAGTTTACCCATACTCTGGCTCAAGCAGTCACAGGTTCAATGCATGTTCACTGAAGGAAGTTTTCTGATCTGCTTGTTGAGGACAGGGTTCTCATCACAGCATCCTACAGTCTTAATCCACTGGCAAGACAGTCTTAAATACATTGTGTTTATTTATTTCTGCGACTACTTAATTTGTCAGCCAGCAGTGTTTGTAAGTATTAGACATAGAATTCAAAGCTCTTTCAAAGACTTTCTCATAAAATCTCTTCAGTTGCTTATTAAAAATAAGTTCTACAGTGGTCATTATTCAGCAAAACAGATTCTGAATAACAAAAAATTGATATAAGGGATTTTTATGGGTTTAATGGAGCTTAGTAGGATTGGGAACTAATTCTTTTTTTGCAAATTTTGTGTGTCACCATGACAGCACCAAGTCAGAAATGTACCAATTCCAAATAGGTGCTAAAGATGTTTGGCTGGCAACTAGAAGAGTTGTTAAAATACTAACGTCTTGGCAAACACTGTCAAATCTGCTTGATGTATTCACATTCTACTTTTTTTGTGAGGCAGAGTGGGACTCTTGTTTCTTTGTAATGAACAAGCTGAGGGTAGATTTCTTCCTCCTGCCCACGGGGGAGCACTTTGTGTCTCTCCTCATCTCACCAGCTGCATTCACTTGGGACAGTTTAATCATGCAAGAGGCATGATCCACCAGAGCTTTAGGCAGGGGACTGGCTTTCTTCCATACCCGCCTGTCTGTGTCATAAAGGAAAACATTGTCTTCTTTCTGCATGTGCTGCAGTGACCCACCTCCTGCGAGGTAGAGCGTAGACTCGTGGGCTGTGATGCTGAACTGGCAGCAGTTGAACGGGGATAGCGTTAGTGTTGTCCACTGATTGCTTACAGGACAATAATACTCTGTCTCGTTGACATGAATCCATTCCTCTGCCTGCAAAGAACCAGACCAGCACTCACCCATCGTATCACACCTCAAGTGGGCATCACTGTCATGTCAGGCTCACTTGGTTCATGGTAAAGAAAACCAGTGTCTCAACATCTCGTTGAATACCATGGGGCTCAAGGTGCCAGATTTTCAATCCACATTTAGCAATCACAGCCTCAAAAGAAACTGAATAAAATACCAGAATGGCATGGCTTTAAAGGAGCTTTGTTATTCTTGAAAAATCAGAGGAGTGAGCCAAGCAGGGTGCCACAGGGACCTGCTGGAACCGGCATAGCCGAAGTCCTGCCTGCTTTCTGGACATTTAACACATTACGAAGGAAGTAATCTAAAGAGGGCTGTATTGCATTGAATTGTGGACAATAACTGAGTTTGTGTCATCTGGAGGAATTTGATGTCAGCCTTGATGTGCAGTTTCTCTTTATAGATTTCTATCCCTTCTTCAGTGAGCCATTAAGACACCTGCATTCCTTCAAAAGAAACTGTACCTGTTATGGTAAAATGGGGCCAGGCCTGAGTCTTTATGCTTCCAAATGGGAATTGCTGAATAATCTTTGAAAACTCAGTTCTCTTGGCTTCAGTGAATGGGATTCTCCTAGAGTGAGCCTTTCAGTCCCTGTCAGGTCTCTTCCCAGAAGGCTGGGCAGTGCTTTCCCTCCTCTTTCAGAGATGGGAAATCCAGGTTCGAAGAGACTTCATTTGCATTCCAGGACTTGAGCCCATCTTTCCTGAAATCTAGGCTAGTGTCCTCACCTCAGTCCATTCCTTTTCCCGTCTGCCAGTGTTTTGCCCCCTCTCAGCTTGAACAAGGAAAATCAGGTGGTCAGTGTGTTTGGGGCAGGTACGTGACCAGTTTTACACTTGGGCTTTCCTGTGTTAGCAGGCTGCGCCTCCACTGTGTGTTTTCTCTATTTAAACAAATGCTTTAAACAGCCTTTGTACTCTAGCAAATAGAGTGTGACAACAGGCCAGCTTCTAATGCACATGATTGTAATAGCAAGCACATTTTCATAAACTTATTGGCCTGGCTTGCAACTGTGCCAGTCCACTAAGAGACCGAAAATAATGAAGTTACTGGTCAACCTGTTGGAATGAGACAGTCAGGTCCTAGCAATACAGAGACCCCGTTTTGGATCAGTTTTGGGATTGTAAGAGCAAATGAACTTACTCCTTTTAGTGTCCTTCCTCCAATGCAAAAGATCCTGTCCCTGACTGCAGCCATTCCGTGATCACAGCGGGTAAAAGCCATGGCACTGTTGCCAATCCAGCGTCGGAGGTGAGGGTGGTAGCGGTAAGTGTCTCTTAAGGTTTTACCCCCAGAGAAGCCCCCTAGAAGGAAAGCAGAAGTCTTAAATCTATGCATCATCCTCTGTGACATCCAGCAAACCTTCTGCAAACATCAGCAGAGCTGAGTTTTTTTCTTTGAAATACCTAAGAAGCTCACGTTTAAAATTTCACACCATCTGCAGAGTTGATGTGGTGTGAAATTTAAAACCTCAGCTTCTTAGGTATTTTAAAGAGGAAAAAAAAAAAACCCCAAAACCAACCAAACAAAAACCAGCCAGTTCCAGCTCTTTCTGTAAATAGTTTTCCACAAAAGATTTTTGAATAAAGCTCTTGGGGTATTTCAAGTGTAACCAGGAACAGCTTTAATTAGGGAATCTGCTTCCAACACGTGCAGTCATAGAATGGTGGTTTGAAAGAAAAGCATTCAAAGCTCTTCAAACTTTGGATCTTTGACAGAAGGTCAGAGCCAATCTGCCAGTGCTGTTGTCAACTTTTTCTCTTTACTAGGCACTCACTTGTGTATTTCAGGAGTGCATTATAAAAAGCTCCTTGCAAAAGGAAGCTGCTGCTATGGGAAGGGTAAATGCCTCCAGCTGCCAGCCTGTTGAATTCTAGCCTGCAGAGAGTCTTTGCAGACAAGGAAGATGATATTTCAGGTTGGCCATAAGCCACAGCTCACCTGGGCTTTGATGCTTTCTGTGCGTGGACACTTCGTCTGCATGGAGCATGTTTAAATCTTGTAGCGAAGTAACGCTCTTAATTTTTCAGTTTGCTTGGGCAGGGCTATAGGCTGGCCAAATCAAATTACCCCTCTAGTTTAGAAGAAAATGAATGCTATAGGTAGGTAAGATCTTATACTATAGAAGGGGTATAGTGTTACCCAGCCTAGATCACTATGGTATGTTTGCAGCTCTGTGAGGCAATTTTGTCCTCACTCTCTGGTAGGAATCAAGACCACCAACAGAGGTTAAATGAGCTGCCTGTGGCACCATCAGGCCAATTGAGTCAAAGCAGGGACTTTAACCTGAGCTGCAGCCATTCCCCCAGCTGAACTATTATCCTTCCTTTCCAGACATCTGCACTGCCAGTGCAGGAGCCCTGCTGTCAGTGGGGTACATGTCTGGGTAGGACAGCCCGCGTGCTGCCTTCCCTGCCCTTGGGGCCTTGGGAAAGATTGTCTTTCAAGTCCAAATTAGTAGGTACAAAAGCTAAAGATCCTGCAACAACTCCCGAAGTGCTTAAACTCATGCTGCTTTATTGTTAAACATCCTGTACCACCTACCAAAGATGTTTGTAAAGACTGAGGATCCCTTGTAGGGCACGAGCTGTACAGGCTCAGTGGGTAAGAGGGTAAGAGCCTGCATTATACTTCTTTTTGTACAGACTAACAAAGCAGCACAGTAGGGTTAGTCCCACATCTTGTATTCAGATTAATACCAGGGTTTAATCCCATCCCCAACACTACGGCAGCCTGCTCCTGGTTTATCTTTTCAGACAGCAAAGCTTTGGGATTCAGCCAGGATTGCAAGGTCAAAGGTGGGCAGGGGTGTGGATTTGCACGCAGATGATGTCACCTTTAACGTCTTCGAAAGAAAATAATTCTTGCCCTTCAGGAGGGCAGTGAGGCCGTGCTAAGGGATGCTGGAGCTGTGGGTGTTATTGGTGTGGGCGCAGGCTTAGACTGTGCCATTAAGATGCCAGCAAAAATCAACGAAACTATATGAAAATATGCTGCTTTCTACTCACTCTATCACCTGAAATATAGAGGATTCCCTTGTGGGTTGTGCCTGCGTGATCAGCAATAGGCGTGGGGAACGGAGCTGCAAACTCCCATTTGTTTTCAGTGGGCTGGTACAATTCCACAGTACAGGTGAGGGTCCCCAGCAGTGTCCCACCACCCACGGCGAAGATGCAATCAGACAGTACATCTGCATGGAAGCGTGTCCGCCTCTCCAGCATGCTGGCAACCTGGAGCCAGGAAGTGTTGCGGGGATCAAATCGGAAAACCTAGGATCACAGCAAATGCGTAATGGTTAGCAGAAGGCAGGTGGCTGGCTTGCGTCTCCTGTGGCTTCAAGAACTGATAAATGTTTTCCCTGGGCTGAGGAAGGTTTTATATTCAGACCTGGACAGGCTCACCTCCCGAGCGCAAGTCCCATGGCAGCAACAATGGGGACAAGGGTAGTGTTCATGGGGTTGCTTGATTGACTGATGTGGACCTGGCTGAACCTGTACTGTGGAAGTTGTGTACAGATTAGGGTGACAATTTACAGTAGGAGCAAGGTGAGACCAGGGCAGGATGCTGATTGCTTCCCAGAGAGTTTGGAAGCTATATTCCCAAGGGCTTTCAGTACTGCACAGAATACTAAGAAATATGTAGAGGTGGGAGACCTGTGGTGGGCAAGAGGAATGACTCCCTCCCTCCCTCACCTAGCGATTTTTCCAATGCTAAAGGTTTCTTATGTCTTACCTCATTTGACGGCTGCTTTCCTGTGGGATCAAATTTGCACTGTCCCCCGATGACAAAGAGGAAGTCATTGATGATGGCGACACAGTGGTTGTACACTGGCACACAGAGGTCCCCAACCTTGTGCCAGGTGCTACAGCTCTGGTCTGCAGCCCACATCTCTTTGCACACGCAGTTGTTGGCGGTTCTGCCACCAGCAACAAGCAGCACAGTGGAACTGGAGCGAAGGCTTGTGCTCTGGGTCTGCAGGACTGGCTGAGCATACAGCTGGGAGTGGTAATTCAGAGCCTCCTGCAGATACCTGTAGCAGCCTGAATCCAGCCTCATAAGAGGCATTTCTTGGACATACCTCTGCAGATCCCTTAAAGGAATAAGAGGGAATCTTATGTGCCTTAAAATATCTGCTGAGTCTTTCAGCCGCGTGCAGTCATGCTGCAGCCAGCTCATAGTGGCTCTGAAAAGCTCCAGCTCGCTGCATCCCTTGGTGTCAGTCCTGTCTAAAATTTCACAAAGGGTTCCTTGGTCCAGGTCTTTCAAGAACTGATGATCAGCCAGGATCTGTTTGTAATGCTGCCCTACATAGCACATGGCTTTCTGCCTCAGCTCTGCTTGGCCAAGTTTTTTAGCAATGTTAAGAACATCCATGCAGTTCTCACAGTTCAAGCAACCCTCCAGAAAGCGAAAGCACAGCTTGATCACCTCCCGAACCAGGAGGGTTTCTGCAGCTTTGAAGGTCTCCTCAATATTCTGTAATGAGAGGTCTAGTTTGTTGGAGTAAATGAAGTTGAGAACATTCCTCAGCCCAGCAGCACTGATGGCTTTCAACTGGACGTTACCATCCAGGCTTCCCGCTCTTGTCAAGCTTCCAACAAACAGGATCTTGCAGTAATTACTTGCTGATGCTAAAATGATCTTGTGGGCTGGAAAACAAACCCCTTCTGCCTCCAGTGTCACGTCGCACAGTGCGCTCTGTGAGCGAAGGCTGCTGAGTCCTTCCAGGAGTTTTGCCACATAGGTGTCTGACACAAGTATGGCTGTGCTGGCCTGCGAGCTGAGCAGCATTGCTCTGAAAGGTGCGTAGCCCTGCAGCAGCCCCAGGGCTCTTTGCTGCACAAGCTCAGTGTATCTCCTGGGCAGTCTTCTGCAGCCGAACCATGCTTTGAGGGAGCTAAGGCTGTTCCATTCAAAAGGCAGTAACTGTAGCAGCCTCCCTCCTCAGTGGCCTCTGCCCAGTGCTTTGCAGGTGCAGAGTGCTGTGTGCCTTTCAGAGCCGCGTGGGGCCGTTTGCAAGTGGAACTGTTGGTGCCGGTTATTGCACAAAACCCACAGTGTTTGTGGGTTTTGCTTGTGGGCTGTGACACTGGCAGCAGTGGATGGCCACTGGCATAGCCACATTCCTCCTCCTCACTCTCTGGTAACAACCCATCCACACAAAAAACAGCTCATTCTTCAGCAGCTCCCCAGCTATGCTTCGCTGGGCTGCCTGCTCTTTCATCTGGGCAAGCCTGCACATGCCATCTTTCCTTTCTTGAACAGTCAAACAAAATCCTGTCTGTGACGTGCCACCCTTGGCCCTCTGACTAAATTTGATGCATTCAGACAACAGCTTTCAGGGAGGGGGTGGGAAGGTCTCAGCAGTTGTGTCCCATTCAGTTTGAAGCATTCAAGTAACGTCCTGTACAGAGCCTGCTTCTGGGTGTGTTAGGACTTGGAGGCTCGGGCTCTCCCAAGGGCTAGTGAGCCAATCACTTGGCTTTTGGCACAAGCAGAGACAGCAGAGAGCACCAGGGGGTCCTTTCCTCCCCATAGATATAGCAGAAGCAAAAGGTTATCGTGCAGCCAGACTTTAGACCATGCAAAAGCTTTGGCATAAAGTTGGGATCGTAACCTAACACTGGTGCAGACCCTGCTAGTTCTGCCCCAGCCTTACACACTTGCCCAGCTGGGATAGCTACCCCTCTGGTCTTGGCCATGAGGCTCATATGGGAAGCAGTGGGTGAGACAGCAGAGAGGTACTGACCAGTTGGCTTTGTGCTGTGTTTCTGCCTGGCAGGGGTGTTTTACAACTCCTCCGGCTTGGCACAGTGTTACAACATATACCAGCTGTACCAGTCCTGCGCTGACCCCACGGGCTGCGGCATCGGCTCAGATGCCAAGGCCTGGGACTACCAGGTAAGGTGTTGGAGACACCAACAGGTTTCAGCTGCTGGACTGGTTATCCTCCTGCCCCATGACAGCTCTTGTACCTCTCTTAGGTTTGCACGGAGATCAACTTAACTTTCAACAGCAACAATGTCACCGACATGTTCCCCGAGATGCTGTTCACGGAGGCCATGCGAGAGCAGTACTGTTGGAGCAAATGGCATGTGAGGCCACGAGCACACTGGCTGCAGACAAACTTTTGGGGAGGAGGTGAGTTGTGCTGGCTGCTTGTCCCTTTACATTACGCTGTAGTTGTCTGCCTGTCCCCACTCTGCCCAGCTGAGCTCCATGGGGACAGGCACAGCGCACTAACAAGTCCTGGCAGAAAGTCACAGCCTTGTGCTGACTTGAGCCAAACAGACCTTTCTGTACCTCCTTGAGACAGAGTGGAAAACGTAAAAACTGCCAAGAATTTGTTTTATTCTCCTGTGTTTTCTGTTCTTGGCCATGGTGGCTGCAATAGCCAAACACATTTGGATAAATGGGCAGGAAGGAGGCCTCTCAAATGTATTTCTGAATTTCAGACTTGAAAAGTGCAAGCAACATCATTTTTTCAAATGGAGACTTGGACCCGTGGGCTGGAGGTGGGGTAAGCATGTGCACTCCTGCATACCGAGCACAGAGAGCGCTTTCCAGGTGATACACTGCCCCCCTCTCCCTTCCAGAGCAGCACTGGTGATTTATCTTCAGCCCATTTGAGTTTTTGCAAGCGGCTGTTTTATGCTGAACCATTCAGGAGCCTCAGGACATTAATGATGGACACATTGAATAGTGTCCATCAGCCAGGAACACTGATGCAGCAAAAGTGGTTTCGCTAGTGCAGACACAGCAGGAGCCTTCTTACCCAACACCCGGCGTCTGAACCACAACCTTGACACGTTTCTGTGTCAAGACTTGGTCTCAGTGCTGACAGCCATGTGCTCCTTGCTCTCTCCAGTCTCAGCATACTTTGTGAGACCCAGCAGTTGCTGTAAACAGCAACTCGAACCAGGGCATATCTTGGCTTAGGTTCAACAAAACTTCAGAGTGATAGCAGAGCTCCAGTTTAAAATTTAAAACCAAAAATGACCCAGAGCTGGATTTTGAGTTAGGTGAGCTCCTGACTGTATTGCAGGAGTTCCTTGTATTAGGCTGGCTTGCAATCCCAGCTGCAAGAGGAACAGCCTGCTTGCTGTGCATGGGCCCAAAGGAGCCTGTTACTTCACACCACCTGTACTGGAATAGGCTGACAGCTTTTTTCTTGGGGGAAGCCTTGACTTCATTTGAGACCTACGATTTGGCTCTTTAGATTAGGACTGTTAGCCGTGCACACAGTATCAGCTGTACCAAGGATCTCTTCCTGTGCTTTTCCTCAGTCCTGCCCAGCTCGTCTTCCAGTTTTCAGAGCTGATGTCCAGTTCTGCCTGGTAACTCTATGAGAGTTTGTCTCTGCTCCTTTTCCTTCCAGATAAATAGCAGCCTCAGTCCTTCACTAATTGCATTGACTATTAAAGGAGGTGCTCATCACCTAGATCTCCGGTAAGTACTGAACTCTCCTTTGGCTGACAAAATCCCACTGCCCTAATCTTAGCTAGCCACAGTCCAAAGAACCAGGACATGCTTTACTTAAAGAGGACTGGATACCAGATTGTTGCAGCCTAACTGTGGAAGAGCAATCCTCTTCCCCAGTACAGGGCTCTTGCAGCCTTCAGGAAAGCCAGGCTGTGCAGAACTCAGCACTAAACTCACATACTTTCATTAGAACATGTTCTTGCATAGGAATTGGCCCAAGTGTGTGATAGCCTGTAGTGATCAGTCATGTGAAGTAGTCCAGCATCTCTTGCCATCAGCCCTCAGCCTTCAGGCCTGGAGCAGAGAGGGCAGCAGCCACCGATGCAAGGGAAAGCTCAGGGCTCTCAAGCCTGGTTCTCAAGCCTGCCTCCCAACCTCCTGGTGGCTGTGACACTGTAACTTGTTTTCTAGGGCATAAATATGAAGTACAAAACAGATAATCTCTGTCCTTCAGTTCCCTGGCTTGGCTTTCCCTGTGCAAGAGGCAAAGAGCTGCTGCCCACTGACTAGCTCACACTGCTCTGCTTTCTCTAGAGGACACAATCCAGCTGACCCCCCATCTGTCACAGAGGTGCGCAAGCTCGAAGCAAGCATCATTGATGGCTGGGTGAAATCTGCAGGGATGGAAAAAGCACGGGAGAAGTCCTCAGGAGCTTCAGCCGGTGGGTGGCTGTGAATACATCCATCCCCACAGCCTCTGGCAATGGTGGGAGACTGCCACCAGGATACAAAAAGACAGCAGCCTGCTGAGCTGTGCCTGTGCTGTTTAAGAAACCATTCTCTCCTCTGCCACAAGAGTGGAAATTCACCTCTCTGAAGTGTTCCACCTGCCCCCAATCGAGCATCAAAAGAAAAACAAAAGGCCAAGTCACTGACTGAAGCCAAAACCATATTGTGTGGGTTTCATGCTCACCTGCTTGGAATGAGAAGGCATTATAATGGTGGAAATAATAAAAGCTTGCCTGGAAGGCCCAGGAATCATCACTGTCCTGAACAGTATGGTTGCAGGAGGCACCTTAAGGTTGAAGCTAAATTATTTTTAGACAAAATTAAATATTAGATGACTAGTGGACTAGATGACTAGCTTATGGTCATTACTTATGCAGATTCACAGGGGACTCCACTAGTGACCAGTTATATAAAAAAAAAAAAAGACTCTTGTCTGCCAGTGCTGTGGGTTTGGTGTTTTTTTGTTTGGTTTTGTTTTTAGCTTGCACAAGAGATATCCAGTTGTTGAGCTGGAGATTTACACAAAGTAATCCTGGTGTGTACTGCTGTCACTCAAGAGCTGCGTATTAGTGACCAGTAAAGCACAATTCCACTTGAGACATCTTCAGATCTTTTTAAAATAAATTACAAGTTTATTAAAGTGTGTGATATAATCTCATGGCTTGGTAGTATAACCAAAGAAGATAAAAAAGGATACTTCTCACCTTCCCAGGTGGAGTAAGCTAATCTTTGCACATAAACAGGTGGATTCTTACCTACTGGAATTACTATGCACCAATAAATACTAGCATAATTGCAAAAATATTAAATCCTGGTAATTGATTGGATGCCTTGGTCCATTTACAATGATTTTATGAGTTAGTGGAGAAGCCTCCCAGGTCATCAAAGGCTTACATTACTTATACAGGCAAAGTCACAGCATTGCTTCAGCTTCTGTTACTTAACACAAAGCCTTGTGTTTGAGCAGTGTATTTGCACTGCTGGGTCCTCCCTGCCATCACAGTACAATTGGTTCCCAGAGCTACAATATCAGTCACTGATGTTATTTCACAATATTTGGGTGCTGACATAAGGTTTTTTTGCATAGAACCTGCTTACCTCTTCCCTGTTCCTAAGTGCAAAAGGCCAAAGCTTCTGCTCCCCACCCCCAGCTGAGGAGTGCGGGAAGAGCAGGAACACATGAAGTCCATTTATCAGACCTTCCAGGTATGTACAAATGAAGGACAACATATAGAACACCCAATTACTCAAACTCCAGCCTCCAAAGAAAAACGCTTCAAGACTGTTAGTGGAACTACAGTGGCAATAAGACCCGTATCTTCTCCATTTATGCTGACGAAAACCCCTACACCTCTGCTGAAAGCTGTCGATGTCCCTTTTGCTCATACTGAAGTCAGGCTTCAGGTTTGTTGCTGAAACTATGGCTTATGCAAGGCTGCCATGTCCAGCCTTACTGAGATGCTGGAATCTGGTATTCACCCTCCATGCTCACAGACCCACCCCTGCCTTTTCTGAATTTAGATTTGCTGTACCCCAGCAATTACTCAGGACTACCACCACATTAAAAAAAAAAAAGCAGACAGCGGTGGATGTGGCTGCAGAAAGAGAGGATTACATCTTCCTTATATTACTTTTCTAACAGCATCCTTAGCTCCCAGCAAGCAGGCACCCTAATTAAAACAAGCCAGCTGAGAATTAAAGCAGCCAGTATGAGTCTTCTGGAAAGTAATCTGCAAGTTACAGCCTTTGTCTAGTGGCTTGTTTTGTGCCTTTGAGTGAACAGAGGCCCATGTGTCTTTTGACCTTCCAGAAGGATAAGAATTCTTTAATGCTCTTACAATGGACTATACTGATCTCTTATTTTCCTCTTGTAGATAGTACTTGCCCCAAAGGGTACTATCCACATAGTGTGAGGGACACAAATGGTTTGATTTATACGGAAGGATGAACTAAAGGCTTTCAGATGCTATGGCAAAGAGATAAACAAGATATACATGGACTTCCATGCAAATGATAGATGAGCAGCACTAAAAATAATTACAAAAACAGGCTTCAGAAACTGTGGCAGAAGTCTGAAGCCAGTGCCACAAACATCCATAATATTTTGAAGCCTTGGGCAAGGAAGAATGGGATCCAAGCAGAAAACCCTGGCTGTGCGGTGCTCTCTGAGCTGAAGGGAAGAGCCCAGCAGCAGCAGTCACCACTCATCACAGGAATGCTGCTTGTGGCTGAACTTCAGGAAACACGAAAGGAAAAAGAAGTACAAGCAGAGAGTAAGTAACCCAGAGCACCATCCATGGGTGGAGCCCCCATGCTGGTTTAAGACCTGTACCAGTGGGGTTGTTGAAAAAGGCTTATTTATTCTATCATCACGTACCAGCACGAGGGGTATGACCAAGATGGGAACATTGCACAAAACAGTAAGAAGTGTCTCTCCAGTCACATGCCTTTAAGTCAGAGCTTGAAAACTGACCATGCAAATCAGCAGGTTTTCCTGGCAAGCACAAGTCATCCATTTCTGAAGAACTCGGGGCTGGTTTTTAGTGGAAGCTGAGGCCTCCAGATTTAGACAGTAAGTTCTAGCAATACTTCAGAGACAAAAAACCCCAAGCCATTCCTCCTGAATCCAAAGTAGGGAAACTCTTAACCCTTCTGTTGAAGCAACAAGCTTGCCAGACAGCATCATGGAGCTACCCTGACATGTCAGTTTTACTGGTCTTGTTAAATACACTGAGCATGGCACTGGAAATCAGGAGCTGAATTGCATGTAGGGTTATTTCTAAGAGCGCACAGCTGAAGGAAAGTAGTCTTAAATGGCAGGAGAAATGCACAAAACTGTGTAAACATGTTAGTTGCAAAAAACTATCCTGTCTGCATCCCTCATCACTGCAGTGACACACTGGTATAGAATAGGAAACAAAGAGGATTCTTTGCCTAGTATTTGGAGAAGTAAATACAGCGGTATCTGAGCTTGTCATGTTTCTTGAAAATCTTGTTAACTGAAAGCCATGTGAAACACGGAGGGGCCCCTGTAAGCCAATACCATGGACCTTGCAAAACTGCCAGTTTCTAAGACCTGTAGTGAGACTTCAGAGTCTCAAAAAGTTCAGAGATCACATGCTAACTGTGGCCCTATCCATCCACTGAATTTTCTTTGAGCAAACATGTATGTATTTTTTTCTGAGCTCTGGCTTAAAGCCCAGAGTGTAAGACTTTGAAGTCCTACAGCTGTGCAGCACTCCATGGCTGTGCCCATACCCATTTCTGTTTCTCAGTGAAAGTGTAAGTGAACAGTATAGCTGGGTGGGGCTGGGAATTTTTTTGTTTTATTTTAATTATGCAAGGCACTCAAGCTCTTGGAGAGAAACCAAGGCAGCTCCTTGTGCAAAAGGACAGAATCACTGGCTGAAGAGACGGCCTTTCTGCAACACTTAAACACTTAAACATCAGAAGCGTACCAATACGTTGAAACACCAAAATGGATTACAGACCCTGCAGTTCAGGCTTTGGTTCAAAGAACCACAGTACTTGAAAGAAAACTTTTTGAAGAAGCTTCAAAGCTTCTACTGTGCTGGGGGAGCACATAGTGGAATTGAGACGGACTGTGAAGTTCAGAGACTAATCTGACACAATATATTATGTTAAGGAAGTAAAAATAAATAAGCAATTAAAGTGACCTTTGCAAAAGAACAGGAAGAAGCAGATAAGCTTTTACCAGATTATTTAGGTTTGTGCCATTTCACATGCGATGTAAGAGTCTGAAACAAGCATTTGCTCTCAAAGGTAGAGCGAGCTAAACAATCTTAAACTCAGATTTAAAGGATGAGGACAGTAAAGCCACACTTGGCGAAGAAATTCAGTTTCCCAGGAAGAATTAGATAAAAAAGAAATCAGTTGAACCAACAGGCTCAGCTAAAAGACAAGAAGTGTGTTTGGGAAAGTGACCATTCAGTCTTCTCTCCTTCAACTCATTATGAAATGGAGTATTACTCTCCAGCCTATCACAAGGCAAAAAAAATTACAAGACAGACTCCCTCAGTCCCATTTGTAGAGTCAATTATGTTAAGACTAGTATAAGACTTCAACAACAGAAGATTTTTGGTGAGCATTTATATGTATTCCACTTTCTAAGAAATCTCTTTGTTTCCTCAGTAGGGCTGCTGTACAGGTGAAACACCAAGCTTTGGAAGTTTTACAATCCATAGCAAAGTCATTAATTAAGGGTTCAATACTAGCTTCAATTGAAGGCACAATGCCAAAACAACACAAGTCAGTAAGGCCTGGTTAGTCTCACCGAATTTATCTTTTTCTTTTTTCCTTTTTTTTTTTTTTAAATCTCCAGTTTTAAGCCTTCAACTTTTAGCGAAAGCTCAGCTCCTCAGAAACACAAACAAAAACACTGAAGGTGTTTCCTCCCACATTTCAACAGCATTTTCCTTCTTTGTTGTTATGTCAAAGAAAACGAAAGTCTTGGGAGCAAATAATTTGTGCAGACAAAGGCTACAGCTACTAGATTCCACTGCACACATAAGTGAGAATTTCCAGGGTTACTGGTGACATGTGAACTGGAGGAACATTAACATTCTGCACAAACTTGTCACATCTTGCAAATCCTAGGGTCCCTTTGATGACAGAAAAAGGTGCATTTAAGTAATTTGTAAAATTTCTCCATTTCCATAAGCCATCATTAGTACATGGAATGATAAATATTCTTTAAAAGACTTTAAACAGTGGTCCCAAGGGTAACTTCTGACTCCAGCAAACAGAATTAATCAGCACAAAACAAAAAAGATGCATCTTACAAGTCAAAGGTTACAAATACTATAACATACACATACCCCTTCAGCCACTAGAAAATTAACCATTACAGTCAGGTTTAATCATTTCCACTTAGCAGCCCTAGATTTAGAGGGGGCCGTACCTCACCGTCACTACCACGCAGCTGCATACCTCCCGCCACTCCCATTAATGTGAGGGGAAAGGACATTTTGGTGAGAACAACCTCTTTAAGAAATATGAACAAGCACATTTCTGAGAACTTATCTGTGAATACAGGACTGTCCAAGTAGCTACAAAACCAAAAGGAAAAGCACTACAGAAAGCTGATTTCCAAATTCATGTTTTAAAATCTATTTGCATATATAAAAATGAAAGATCCTAGGGCTCCCATAAGATTCTTAAAAAGAACTGGGTGTGCTTTGTCTTCAAGCAACTGAACAGATTTCACTAATTCTACTGGAACCTGGAATTGTTGTAATACATTTAGACTGTCTGCTTTTAATACTACTAATGAAAATACTTCTACCCAAAGTACTCCTAAGGAAAAAAAATTGAAAATTTCTCTACAGTTCAAAAAGTGATAAATAACATGAACTTTGCTGTACAGTTGTAAGCTTGTTTTGAGTCAAACACCTTACAGTGCAACATCTGGACAGGAAGGGACAGAAGGAGGCTGACTTAGAATTATACCTAATGTGCTCACAAGCTTTCCCAGTGCCCAACCTCACAAAGCAGCTTTCAGTCAGAATACCTGAGTCTAACTGATGCAAATAATACATAAAAATGCATGTGTAGTTTCACTTGCGTTTCACATTATCTCCTGCATTCCTGCAGATAAGTTAAAAAACTGTAATACCTCTACAAAATTATATACCACTTTGAGCCAAACCAGCAGCAAATTCTTTTCCATCATTCATTTCAGCCACAGCTTGAACAGATTGTTCAAAGTGCTCTATAAAACTAAGACACTGTACAACAGATGCTTTGCTGCCACTTCCTTCTTTTTAACGTGATGCAGCATAGCTCGGTAGTTTGGAATGAGATCAGAGTATCAGTAGCAATACTGACAGCTTTGCTTCTACCTGGGACAACGTTACAGTTCTCTGTTTATTCCACTTACCACCTGAAACACTATACATTCTTACGAAGGAATGGCACTGTAACCAAGTGTTTCAGTGAATCCAGAATAAACCAGAAACCTGTGGGCTTATTCCTTCTCTCCAGGGGCAATCCTGTGCTGTAAGACAACTTGCTGCATTCCCGATATTTAATGAGCATTTAGTAAGACTGACATAAGTGAGTTCTGGTTCACCAGAGCCCTGTGAATGTCATGGTCGACGCTACAATTATTCTCTGAACGTCACCATCAATACCAGGAAAACCAGCTTAGTATGGCACAGCTTGTCCATCCCAGAACCAGGGATTAGATTTAAGACTGACATGACTTCTCCAAACCAGAGATGCTTTCCCAAAAGTTTTGTTTGTTTGTTTTAAGCCAAAAAAGGTGCAATATAGCATCTCTCCTCAAACCCTGAAAAGTAAAGTGACTTGAAGATAAAAATGCCACCACTGGAAGGTCTACTGACACCCAGTCTATGCTGGCACCCAGATAGGGAGTGGATGAGCTTCTGTGTTAAATACATATTTGTCAAGGTTGATTAAGTCTATGTCATCTGAAAACAGCAGAAACATGTATTTGAGTGTTTCCCCAAGGAAGAAGCTCTCCATCTTATCTCGTGGCTCTGGATTACTGGGATTCTGGACGTTGTTAATGGAAGTATAGCCACCTGTAGGAACCTGTGCCAAAAAAAAGCAGAAATTTTGTATATTTTGATAATTTAAAATAAATTATTTTCACTTCTTAACATCCAGATGCAGTTGGAGAAAATAAGCGCTAAGAAACAGACCAGCATGTTTTTCATTTCATACTTGTTTTTCATTTACATATAAAACTTCAGCTATGAAAAAAATCTCACTACATTTTAAAAGAAACCACAAGAATAAAATGAAGCAAAATGTCCCTTTACACTTAATTTAAAGAGCTATCACAAAGAACATCCCCATAAAGTTTCTGGACAAAGGTACAGAAAGTAACTAGTACAATTTCTACATCAAGAGTTGGACGAAGTACCGCAGCTATTCTCTTAAGAACAGACCATGGATATTTAATGACCACTGGCATCTAGGCCACGCTTTTACAGCGTATCAGAGTGATATCTCCATGAGCACTGTAGTCAGAATGAACACAAAAAACCCTCTATTAAAGCATTAATGCCATTTTGTGGCAATTTTTTTTTTTTTTTTTTTTTTGCAACTTCAAGCAAAGTGTTCTTTCAATCCAACCAGGTCCTTCTCAGCTTCTGAATTCTAAAAAAGATTGCAGTAGAGATTTAACAGCTTCCAAGATGACGTAGAGATGCTTTGGTGGTCTGCATACAGCTTCTGCATTTTACTTTTTAACCAATGTAATAAAAGTTCTTTCCCTGCATGTACTAAGCAGCGTATCACAAACTGTAAGGCACTGCATGAACTGAATTTTTCTGTGTGTTCTTACGAATTTTCCCACAGGTATTTGATGAGTCTTAGAAAGACAGTAGGTTTCCAAAGTTCTTGTTAGAGAGCAAGTGAGCTAATAAAGTTCTTACAGAACATGGTCATTATAAGCTGACCTTACCCGTGCATATTTATTGAAGTTCTGCAAGATTTCCCAGCCCCAGTCTTGGTATTTCTTATCACCGGTGAATCTGTACATATAAAAAAGGCTTTCCACAGTTTCTGGTCGCAGTAAGTTGTGCCTGTCTGCAGGCTGCAAGAGAAAAAAAGGAAAGAATAATTCAGACATGGAATTTCCTCAAGGACACATGCAGGAAGAAAAATAGTGATTCCCATCTCCATCTACTCCAAAGAATTTATTAGGCATAACTCGGCTTCTAAATACACTACAGGAGTAATTAAAAACAAAGGCTAGGGTACACCTAGAAAGTGAGGCAGCAAAAAACCAAGTTGCTCCACAACAGAGCACATCACCAATATCCAGCTGGGAGTTTCAACAGCAGAATAGAGATACAGAAGAATCATCAAATTATAGTTTAGGCCAGCTATCTGTTCACCTTGATTTCCACATCTTTGTGGCCCTTTTGTGCATGAAGATTGAAGTGTACGATCTCCGGACTCAGGCCTGTCTCTACTTGAGCATACATCTGGTAACAGGTTTCTATAAGGGCTTCAGCCAATTTCATATGATCAGCAGTCAATCCGTTGTGAGCTCCCAGTGCCAAAGTACCAGGCAAAAAGCAAACCAAGTGATCCTGCAAGACAAGACAACTCTTACTGTGGAAAAAAATTATGCAACAGGTATTTGTGTGTGTGCCTCTCTTTTTCCCTATGTGTGGGGTTTTTTGTTATGTGTCCCATCCCCTCCCCTCCTTCTTCAAAACACATTTCAGGTACTAAGAACTTGAAGGTAACTTTTTAACAATCTGATGTAATGTAGCATGAGGCAGGCAGCATTCTTACAGGGACACACTAATTTGGAAAATGTACAAGACTGTTTTTATGTCAAGTGTCTGAAAACAAGGTCTCAGGTCAGGGCAAGGGGAAGAGGGCAAGGGGGAAGAGAGTGTCTTTTGGTTTACCAGAAGTACACATTTCACACCAACTCATGAAGGGGGGTGGGCAGAATCACCTAAAGGTTTCTCAGTGGAGACACCTAAAGGGACAACATAAGGGACAAATCCATCATCTGAATTTAATTTTACTCTTAAAATGGAACAGAGATGGGAGTCAGCCACAGAAAACAAAGCTTTGGAGAAGAGGGAGAGGTCAGCTGAAGGAGATTTTCATTGCTCTGAAACAATCACCTTAGTATTATTGTAAGAGAGACAACATTTGCAGAGATCATTAGATCTACTGATACAACTGGAAAACACTGATAAGCTTTCAAGCATACTTCTGCCTGAAAGCTTGTCCCTTTCTTGCAACTTAGTTATTTGGGGTAGTAAAAAACTACTACCCCTCCCGGCTGTAGAGCGCCGAAAATGCAACAGCATCATTTTTCTAGAGAGTCTGGGATACAGCTGGCTCCCATGCCCACCACTAGCTCTCCTAGGCTTACTCTCTTGTTTACAGCCAGCTGGATGCCACAGATACCAGGCACCTTGAACAAAACATCGTTGGCTCTTCATGTATGTATGGAAGAGCGGCACCTGAAGATGATCATATGAAGAGCGTTCCTGCTTGCTTTCCCAAGACAAAGCAGCAGCAGCAATGAAAGGACTGCAGGGACATTTCTTTCTTAGTTTTTACTTGCTACAGCAAACAATTTGTTCAAAGGACAAGAGGAGTGGTACAACTTCAAGAACTGTGCAACACTTGTAAACAATCAAGATTAATTTAGTTAACTTTCCAATAAAGCTCAATTGTCAAAGTCAGTTGAACACATCAGAAAACAGGTTGTTGGTTGCCTAAAACTCTTCTCCAGCAAAATTCAATTTGCAATACAAGACTGACTGTCCTCCTTCAGGGGCTAATGCACTACTGATACTGTGAATGTAAGAATTACAGATTAATGTCACATACAGAATTTCAAATGATTCTTACCATTCAGAATGAAAGCTCAGGTCTCATCACCCAAAAACATAGTAAAAACACTCTGGTGCACAAGCAGCACCTGTATGGACCTTTAAAAGCTTTGTCCAGTCCTAAAGGAAATGGTCGAGGGTGGTGAAGGTCAACATAGACATAAGAGACGAACATCCCCCACTTTTCCAGTTGGCCAGGGTAAGATACCCGTCAAGCCTTTCACCCAATAATAATTGATTAAACACCAAAACTCTGACTCCCTGAAACAGAAGCAAGTGTACTGACACATGCAGAAACCTAAGCCAAATCTATCTGTCTGAATTCAATTCTGTGATATCTTGGGATGGGGAAGCCCTCTCTACCCAAAACCCAGACTCCAGTCTCACTCACAGAAGGTCTGGAGAGCCCTTGGGAAATTCAGATGCAAGAAGCACATGCTGAAAAATAGAACTGAACATCTCAAAAATACTACATCGAGAAACCAAACAAGTCAAAGAACTCACGAAAGATCACTTCAGGTATTGAAAAAGTATGCATAAGGCTACACATACATTAATAATACACCACTCATATTAAAAAAAA